TTAACCTTCCAGTTGATGTTCGTAATTTCATTTCCTAAGCATATTATACCATTGAATACATCAATAACAACCTCAACATTTAATCTTATTCATATAAATCTTTTCGCTCAGCTATTGCAGTCAATTTTTATTTACTTCATTACCTTTCCACTTCAGAATAAACTATTTTTCTTTTCATCATGCAGAATATCACATTACTTTTTTTCTCATATTCAATCTATTCATATGTTAAATAATAATGAAAGAAACATGCTAATATCTATTGTAGTATTTCCAACTATGATAAACTTTTAATCGACAGTCTAGCTGTAGACTTGATGTTAGGAGTCAACAAATTAAAGAAAGGAAAAAGCTGAGATGACATTAAAATTTCATGGATAGTTAGAAAGTCAAAACTATTAAAAATTAATCACGGAAGTAAACTACAAAGAGTAAATACTGTACAAAATAACTTCTAGGTTTTAATTTTCTTATATCAAAAATCTATAACATATATAGTGTCTGCTGATGAATACTTTAACATGTATCATTAACCTTTATTAAATCGGTAAATATCAATATACAAGCAAACATTCAAAATAACAATGAACAATCTTCTCAACATATGCACGACTATGAATCATATTGAAACAGTTACGTTTTCACGATACACACCTGAATTATTTATTTTTCATAATATTTAAGTGTTCTCTTAACGTCTATATTTTATACCTTATGCATTGATGTAATGCTTCTTTTCGTTTCACATGCTCTGCTAGTTTCTTTTTTCTTATACGTATTGCAGCCATTTGTAAAATAGAATATATTAGATATTTATTTTCATCCAGCCCTATAAATAATGGTTAAGTTTTTAGCACCACGAATTAATATCATTGCATTAGAAAAAAGATTCAGTGATACGCAAATAAATCGTTCTTTTTGATAACTAATCGAAAATCAAGTATATTAACATAATTGTAGATTTAAATGTATTATAAATATTGACACATCCTTTTTAGTCTTCATTCTCATTTGTATAACATATTCAGATCGTCCATATTGATACACTTGAAACGCAAAAATAATAACCTACATATAATACTTTTCATAAAAGTATATTCTTGCCAAATGTCACGAAAATATTGAATGCAAATAAAACCATTTAAATATTATTCTTCAAATACTATATATCAATCAATAACAATCAATTGTATGAAATCATTTGCGATATGACAGATTCAACTATTAAACATATAGGTGCTGTTTTTCCAATTACTTCTGAAGCGTTACAAACAGATATTAAATATCGTCGACGTCGTTCTATTATTCAAGAATTTAGTCTTAATACTTCAACTCATGGTATTCCAGGTATTGCACGAAGTAGAAGTGTATATAATCGAATTTTTTGGACAATTTCATTTTTGTTTTTTACTGGTGTAATGATTTTCTTTATAACACAATCTATACAAGCTTATTTCGGTTATCCAACACAAACATCAGTATCTTTTGTTGTTCAACGTTCTCAAGCATTTCCAGCAGTTAGTGTGTGTAATTATGCACCGGTGAGATATGATTTAATCATTGACACTTTTCTGAATTATACAAATTCACGTGGTTTAACTAATACAACCGATAATAGCACTATGACAGCACAACAAGCTTCCTATATACGTGATTTTTTGCAATATATATTCAATTCCGAACAAGATTTCAAGCCATATCTTTTTTCTTTGCAATCAATGTTATTAAATTGTGTATATAATGGACAATATTGTAACTATACTGATTTTACTCCATTTATATCATCTACTTATGGTTTTTGCTATACTTTTAATGCTAAAATGAAATCAAATGGAAGTACAATTCGACAAACTACTGATAATGGAGGTTCTGGTAAACTCGAATTAGGATTCTATGCACAGAGTCAACAATATTTTCCATATGTATCCGCAGGTAAATTCAATACTTTAGTTTTAAGAAACGTTTTTCCTTTTTTTTGTCATATAGATGCATCAGTTGGTATGATGATTAT